TGCTTTAGAATAGTCAGATTATACAACAAATGTTTTCATTTGTTTGTGAATTATATTTCCCCCTGTAACTCACACGATAAAGTTCATGAGCAAAATTATAGTTTTGAGATATTTGAATGGTGGTTTCCACTTTCTTATAAGAAGCCTTAAAATTTCTGAACTATGCCTTGCCTTGCCTTTTATTTTGTAATCTCTGCCTTCCCATTTTCTCTTGTTACGCAAGTCTACTGTGTAAACCTGTATTCCTCCTCTTACCTATTCATAATATAGAAATCCTAAAATCACACAAGGTTAAGTGTCCATTTCATATGTGATGACATCCTAAGGATCAAATTTTACTTTGACAAAGGTTACCAGGACTTGAAGTAGAGTTATCTTATGATCTTTGTATCACAAGGGCTTAGTACATTTTTTAAAAAGTAGCATATTTAAAAGTTTTTCATATCTATAATGAATAGAATTTGAAAAATGGATTTTTTAGAGTTATCTCTGTTACTTCTTTAGGCTTACTTGGAAATGGAATTTAAAGAGTCGGTCACTACAGTCTTGAAATCAGTTGAAAAATCACCTCTTATGATAAAAGCAAAACGTGTGAAAATACGTGTTCCAGGAAAGAAAAAGCCACAGGTAAATTAGATTTAGCTTCTAGATGGTTTATTGTTAGAAATTAATAAAGTTTATAGAACACAATATGGATAAACATAAAAGACATTGAAATTAAAACACCCATACAAAATATTAAATGGCAAGCAGCAGACTTGGAGACAATATATTCTCTCAATCCCATTGAGCCAATTCCAACTCATAGTGACTAAAACAAAGTAGAACTGCTTGTCCTCACCCCATCCACACCCTTTCCCCCGAATTCCAGGGGTATAAATCTTTATGGAAGCAGACAGTCACATCTTTATCTGGTGATGTAGTTTGTGGTTTTGAGCCCATTGATCTTTTGGTTAGCCACTGAGGCCTTAACCATAGCACCAGTGCCTCCTGGCTTATATATAAAATGGAAAATTAGCAAATATCTGTGAAACTGTACTTAGGTCACACGTAGAACATTGGCAGCATCTTGGAAGCCACTGGCATGCTTATTTTCAGTCCTTCCAGTCTTCCTTCTCCTATACTGAACCCCTAGTTAGTTTTATGTAACCACATACAAGGGCTTTCAGAAGTTGGTGGGGGAAAGTCCAGTATCTTCTAATTACATTTTTCAATAAATTTGTTAAAGCCTCCTTTTACGTTTTTGGGCTTTTCCCTAAGAATGATCACATATGACTTCAGTCTTTTCTCGATAATTTTCTGTGCTTCAGCTTATATGTCCAGAATAATAGGAAGAGTTTTGATTTCTTGATATTGATGGCTTCAATCAAGTCAGCTCTGACTCAAAGAGATTTTATTTTGTGTATCACAGAGTGAACATTTTCCAGACTATTAAGCTTATCAGTCTTTTTTATGATTTTTGAGCTGTATTCCACTTTTTTCTCCCATTCTAACTCGAATCTCTTACTGTGGTCCCCTTAGAGTGTTTAGCAGTGGTAGCCTTGCATTATCTTGTTCTTCTGGTCTTGAGGTGCCGAGGTTTATATGATCCATTAGTCCTTTGGGTTTTTTCCAAGTGTCTAATTGTCTGCGCTCTTGTTTGTTTAAGATAGGAGCCCTGGTTGCATAGTGGGTACTCCTTGCCCTGCAATCCACAAGATAAATCCAAAGTTCAAAACTACCAGCTGCTCCACAGGAGAAAGACAAGGTTTTCCACTCCTGTTAAGAGTTACAGTCTCAGAATCTC